AAAAAAAAGACTAAATGAGTTGTTTTGAATCAGTGACCCAAAAGAGATTTGCGGTCACTCATTAAAAGAACCACTGGGATTTTCTGTCCTACCCCCCTCAGCAACATCATCTCAGCACAAGAAGGGGGGGGACCCATGTAGTCTGTAGGACCACTGAAGCATACACTCCATTTTCATTTCTGTGCCATTCCACATTGAGCGGACACAAAACTCTGTCCCTGCAGAGGATGCCGAGCGGTTCTTTAATAAAGAACAGGAACAGCATGAGAGATTGAGGCCAAAAGAAAGAAAAAAGAAGACCATGGCCACGAGGAACATAAACATCATCCAGCCCCGCAACAAAACAAACTCGGCCCAAACGGCATCTCCCGCCTACTTTTCTCCCGTTTAGGAAAGGAAAATCCTCTTTCTTTGACCGTTCTCCCTCGGAAAATCCCACGGGTCGAAGCGGACAGACTCCAGAGTGTAATTAATAGCCAGGAAATTAATCTCCTCAAGCAGCTTTTGTGAGCCTGAAGGGAAGGGAAAAAAAGGTCACACGTCACAGCAATGATTGCATCACTCGCGGTGGGGAGGAAGGGGGTCAAAGTTAAGAGTCACTCTGCTGAGTTAGGAGACCGAGTCCAGTGAGCTTGTGGATACGGTGATAAGGGTGGCATCACGTAACGAGTGACTGAGTGTAGAGTTCAAATACACCAAGTGGAGCAGATCATGTGATAGACAGGCTGTTTGCTGATGAGGACATACAGACTTTTTAAAATCTTGTCAGGACTATCATATGTATTGTCTATGGGGAGATACCCTATGTAATTCGTCCCATATGCATTCTCTATATGCAAGTATCCATATGTAATATGCCCCATATGTATTATCCATACACAAATACCTATATGTAATATGTCCCATATGCAACTATATGCTGCTAGCCATATATTATATATATATAAAAATGTTCATTTGTATTATCTACATTCTGCTAGCCATATGTAAATGTTCCATAAGTATTATCTATACGCAGGTACCCATATGCAATATGTCCCATATGATACCTATATATAATATGTCCCATATGTATTATCTATTAGCTGCCAGCCATATATAATGTCCCATATGTATTATCTATGTGCAGGTACCCAGATGCAGTATGTCCCATATTACCTACACCTGTATGTAATACGTCCCATATGTATTATCTATATGTTGCTTGCCATATGTAATGTCCCATATAATACCTATATGTAATATGTCCATTTGTATCATCTATATTCAAGTACCCACATCTAATATGTCCCATATGCATTATCTATATGCAAGTACCCCATATATAATACGTCCCATATGTATTATCTATATGCAAGTATACATTTGCAATATGCCCCATATGTTTTACCTAAATGCAAATACCCACACATAATGTGTCTCATTCGTATTATCAATTTGCAAGTATATAATATATGTTATCTATATGTTGGTACCTATGTGTAATATGTCCCATACGTTAACTTTATATTAAAGCAATAAAGGGCGCTTTTTTTTTCTTTTCTTTTCTTTTTAACAACATATTTTCCTAGTTTGACCCTTCAAACCATCTGCAGTTCCAGCTTGCTTGAGCTCTGTATGTTGACACTGTGTTTAAAAGGCAAGTTCCACTGACTGCTCTGTTGATAAAAGCGGAGTTATTTCCAGATACTGCCATGCCAAGAACTTACCACTGAAGTACATCGAACCTGGAGTATCTTTTACAAGCAAAACATCACACAACACTAGACAGCGCTCGCCGAAGAACTATGAATAAACCAACAACCCGCAAACTAACAAAAGCAACAGCAAAGCGTGGAGATCCAGTTCCCCTCAGAACAGAACACCACAGAGGAGCTGGAGCCACTGACTGCATATATGATATATACTCTCATTGGCAGGAACATGCAGACACTGCTGCTCTCGCTGGACGTCTAAACAGCTTTGACATTTTCACCCTGTATATAATATAATAACGTTACTGAATTACTGGAAGTAAAAAATGCATTTCAGATAAAACTTACTTTGTCCAGTCACAGCTATAATAAAATGCACTGCTTCTCAAAATGAAAAACTCTGTTTAGGGTCAAATTTCTGAAAATAAGGCAATACTTATAATGCAATACTCACTGGACAGGCCTTGTGATAATATTCCCTGTGTGTATCATAAATATGTAAGCATCTCTGTGGAATGAGAACCGATTAAGCCAAATCCTAAACCTTAGCCTAATCTGATCATCAGGAACCAAACAGAAATGGTTTCGCTCTTTCAGTTTAAAAAATTTAATATATAAGCTTCAGTTAAAAGCACTTTACAAAGTCAGAGGCACTGTGCTGATCCTCACAGGGTAGACCGCACCTGGTTTTCTCCAAAAGTCAGAGCATTTTTGCACTGAAAATATATAAAAACAAACAGGCACAGAAGAGAGTGTGAACTTCCGGCCTTCAGGCTACGCAGTGTTGAAATGGTGGGGGGAGGAGGGGGGGGGGTGGGTGCCCAAGTCCTATAAAGCCCAAGGCTTTGAGTGGGGGGGTGGGGTGGGGGGCGTAATGATGCTTGGAGGATGACAATCTGCTCTCGCATGGCACAGTAGCTGGAGACCGTCTGGTTAAGGCTGGCCAAACAATATGGACATGAACTGCTGTAATGTGGAACAATGACCAGGAAAACCAGGCTCGAATAAAAAAAGAAAAAAAGGGAAATTGAGAAAAATATAACTGTCTTTTTTTTGTGTGTGTGAAACACCACTTGCCCTGGATGGTCAGCTGTGATTCTGGGGTTAAAATAATAACGGAGACAGAAGTGAACCAACTCTGGCACTTGTTTGCTGAGCGAGTGCGGGTAAATGTGAAGGAGACGGGATGTTAAAAGCTTTCGAGAAGTGTTAGTCATCCGCCATCTCGCCACAGAAAACTCAGACTGGCACTGAAAAGGGCAGCGTAGGGGGTGCCAAAGACATCGGCCATTAATTTCTGGCCTTGCATGCAGGTCTTTAACAGAGAGGATGTCAAAATAATATTCTATGAAGATAAATTCATAAACTGAGGGGAGAAACAAGCAGTCGTGGTAAGTGCACACCAGGGACAGACACAGGGGATATTAATATATGGATATTCAGACTGATTTCTGTATTCATTTACTTAGTCTGGCATTTTCTTTCATTAAAAGTCGCCAAACTGTCCCTTTTTTTTAATGAAAGAGCTTAACTTGGCCTGAAAACACTGCTTAGGCTCCAAACCGTACCGTTCACTCCTCAGTCCATGTATGGAAAATAAGCTGTGTTTCGAATTCATTGTTGGTGACGTCACGAAACCCACTGCTTTTGGAATGAGGCACTGGGCAGCCAATCAAAGCAGAACTCATTTACATATACAAGTCTTAAAGTCATGTTTAATTCTAAGGGATAAAGAGATGGAAAACGGTCATATAGTAATGAATTATGATCTTTTTGGAAGACAAAAGCAAAAATTTAAAATATTCCAAGTGGACTTCAAGGGAAAACTAAGGCTATGTTGACACAGCAGGTAAAAGTGGCCCAAATCTGATTTTCTCACCAGATCAGATTTTTTTGTTTGGCTGTTCACGTTATCTTTAAAACGTGACCTGTATGCGACATCAGTCTGAACAGATCGCCCTCCTAAACCGACCTGCAAATGTCAGATTCGATGCGTTTTTGCTGTTCACACAGCCACACAGACGACACAAGATTGGATTTGGGCCACTTTTACCTGCTGGGTAAATGTAGCCGAAGTTAAGGGATAATCTGGAGTTTACAGTTTACAAGAACATAAAAGAAAATGTGTCTTATACATTCGTGGTGTTCAAATGTCAGGACACACACAGATGATGATACATCTCATGTAGGGGTCTAATACGATATTTTCAGGCTCAATACGATTTTCAGCTCTGAGGTCGAGATTTCAATATTTTACAGTGTTAAAATTCACTACAGATGTAATTCCACACCAGACAGACAGACAAAAGTTCTCAAATTGAACTTTCAACACCTGCTGTGTGACCATCTAACAAAATAAACCCACAAAACCACAACCTCTATAAATTAATAGGGGACTTCTGAAAAAAAGCCCTGTCATAAGAGTGAATGTATCCATAATACAAGCCCCACTCACTCCAGCCTACTGTTACAGGCACATGCAGTTGGCTAGTTACGATCGTTAGCTGCTTGTTTTCAATCAAACTCACAATTTGCGATAAAAATGCTTCACATGATGTCATTTCCTACTGTTGCGTAACTTCTGGTGAGGGAAATCCCACGATTCCTGATACTAAGCTTTTGTGTAAATGCATTATTTTTCTCATTTCCAACCATTTTCCTGCTGAAGTTTTGTCAACATTCATAAATATTACCAACGATTTCTGTGTCTATATCTTCATCACCAAACTGTTCGCAGGGTTAAAACATTTTTTGCAAAACATCCTTTGGAGAGAAACAGTGGTTTCCACAAAAATGTAATATGAGCAGCACAACGTTTGTCGTCTTTTTCCCCCCTTTTTCCAATACTGTATGGAAATTCCTCCACCCTCAAATACACATTAAGCAAAACAGCTACATCTAATCAGAGCTACATATGGATTTTTTTTATATAAATTAAAAAACTGACAAATCTGAACAGTTACCATTCTGTAGGTCACTGGTGGTGTGTTAAATTACACATATCCAACCACAAAGTCAAAACAAAGTCAACTAAACCATCAGGTACAGGTCACCTCTAATTCCAGCTGCATGCGATAAACCGTGGTTTAGCCTTACACGTTCTCATTTCTCATTCATAACGAGCTCTGAGACATTTGAATACCATTTGTTTAATATATATATATTTTATATAAGCTTAAAGGATGAAAAAGCTCATTCCTAACCCACATCCGGAAGGACAGAGGCAAAAAGACGAATGTATTTCCACAGCGAGTCTCTTGAGAGAATCACAGCTAGAGCTGCTAGAAATGAAACACTCTCTCTCACCCATCTCTGGCGAGACGTCTGTCTCTGGTGGCTGTGTGGCGTCCATCCCGTCCATGCTGTCCTCATCGTCGGCTTGGGCTCTGCCTCGGCTGCGAGACCTGGATCAGGGAGAGAGACGGTTTCACGTTAACGTCTTTGCACCCAACAGAACCTTGAAAGGCAGGTACTGGAAAGCTGCACAAGATGGTGTGGTCTAACTTCCAGAATATGCAATGTGCGCGTAACATCTGCCGATGTCTCAGTTAGTACGCAATGACTTTAACAGGATCTGCTCAAGATCGTGATCGATGATGTATATCACATCAGTCAGACATCCTCAGCACCGATGAGTAACGCAAGTTTGTCATTCAAACTTACGTTATTTTACCATCGATATACGTTCGCTGGTGATGTGGAGTCGCTTCTGCGCAGTAGCTGCACACCTTGCTGCTTCTCTCCAGCGCTGTGCTACTAGAGTTATGTACAAAATACACTCTCGCGATGTTTTACACTCGCAAAAACTTGAAACGCAACTGTTAAGAAAAAACTTTTTGCTTTGCCAGTCATAATCAAAACATCATCACAGAAGCACTTCTCTATCTTCTCCCCAATTTAGACATATCCAATTCCACCTGCTAGTTAGGACACCCCCCATCACACGATACCACCAGTGTGAGGAGGGCTAAGGCTAACACAGGCTTCCTCCAGGACCTGTGAAGCACCACCGCATCTTTACGAACTGCCGCCAACGTCAAACGCGCTCGGAGGAGAACGCTAACTGCCAGTTCTGTGAGACACCATACTCTGATCAGAGAGAGCGAGGGCAGTTGTGCTCTCTTGGACTCCTGGACACGGACGGCTGTAGCATTACTGGGGACTGAACTCGCGATCTCCTGATGATGGGGTCAACGATTCTTACTTCCGACGCTGCTTTTTTGTACTGTTTTTGCACTTTTTCCTTGCGTTTTCTTTTCATTATATGCTTATATGTTTAGTTTGGATTAGATAGATTTATTTATAGTTGACAATATTATTTATAGTTGACAATTCTGCTGAGCCTGTATATTCTTCTGTTCATACTGTACTACCACCCTTATTATTATAACTGTCCTGTGTTGTGTGACTGCTACATGTCCTTCAGGATCGATAAAGTGGCTGTCTGTCTGTCTGCCTGTCTACCTACCTACCTAACTGTCTGTCTAACTATCTGTCTGTCTGCCTGAGTATCTATCTATTTGTCTAACTGTCTCTCTGTCTGCCTGAGTATCTGTCTGTCTGCCTGAGTATCTATCTATTTGTCTAACTGTCTTTCTGTCTGTCTGAGTATCTATCTATTTGTCTAACTGTCTCTGTCTGCCTGAGTATCTATCTATTTGTCTAACTGTCTCTGTCTGCCTGAGTATCTATCTATTTGTCTAACTGTCTCTCTGTCTGCCTGAGTATCTGTCTGTCTGCCTGAGTATCTATTTGTCTAACTGTCTCTCTGTCTGCCTGAGTATCTGTCTGTCTGCCTGAGTATCTATTTGTCTAACTGTCTCTCTGTCTGCCTGAGTATCTGTCTGTCTGCCTGAGTATCTATCTATTTGTCTAACTGTCTCTCTGTCTGCCTGAGTATCTGTCTGTCTGCCTGCCTGAGTATCTATCTACTTGTCTAACTGTCTCTCTGTCTGCCTGAGTATCTGTCTGTCTGCCTGAGTATCTATCTATTTGTCCAACAGTCTCTCTGTCTGCCTGAGTATCTGTCTGTCTGCCTGAGTATCTATCTATTTGTCTAACTGTCCCTCTGTCTGCCTGAGCATCTGTCTGTCTGTCTGAGTATGTATGTATCTATCTGTCTGAGTGTCTGTCTGTCTGAGCATCTGTCTCTCTGTCTGCCTGAGTATATAATTACCATTTTGTTATAAATATTCGGTTAGACAGTTCATGAAGTAACCCAAAGGACCAGCGGTTAAAAAAGCGCCCAAATACTTTTTTGGGGGTTTGGAAAGAATTAAACTGGCTTCATCTCATACAGTGAGACATACAACGCACCTACAAGACCACCGTTATAAGACAGCTAGCCGTGCATTTTAGACTGAACACTAAACAAGCCTGACGTCAGCATAAGAGTGACTTCTGCTGAGATGCAGCCACATTCAGAGCCAAAAGGCACACGTGCACGCAGAGCTATAGACCACCAGCTGCATGTCTTTACCACAGAGCGAGTGGGGGTGGTTACTGATGAGTAACCTTTTCTTTAGAAAAAGTTTTCCTGACCCTACACTCTTCAAAAAGGGTTCTTTAGAGCACCGCCATAAAATAACCACCTCTGGCTCTCTAAAGAACCTTTCAATGGATTGTAACGTCAGCTAGCCGTGATAAAACAGCTGAAAATAGTGATTATTTTTACTCAGCCCATAAATCAGACGTTCCCTAAAAATCTAAAATATGGGCTGAGCAGTGCATCAGGTATTAATACACTCATATTGACTTGTAGCGCCTTCATTAACAGTTTCTCTCTGTTGCATATTAAACCTTCTTACTACAAATTTATAATAAAATAAACTTCTGCCAAAAAGTTAACAGTTTTGCTGCCATATTATATTAAAACAAATATTCTATGCTGTTATGCTTCAAGTCTATTTTTTTGCTGCTTGACCTATTTTTATATACTGGTATTGATAAACATTTTGGTGTTAATTTTTTTAGTATCTTCACTCAATATTTTTCTGTTATATATTAAAAGTTGCTCACAGCAAAAGAAAGAATGTGTCAAAAAATAAATACAAACTTAAAAACAGAAGTTCTGAAAGAACACATTTGTGGGCATAGCATGTATAGTAAGCTTGGACAACAATATAATTCGAAGAATTATCAGAACAAATGACAACAATGTGATCCAAATTCAGTTAAGAGGTGAACATTACGAAGCTTCACGTCATCACTTACAATTTTCCTGATGTTATTTTAATTATCAAATCATTACCAACTGCGCTTGACTCTAAAATGACTTAATCGTTAATAAAGTTATTCTGCACAGACAGCATGTGACACTTAAAATCCAGAGGTTCTTCACCTTTGGTTGGAAACCAAAAAGACTGGTGCTTCGTCCATCCATTTTACTCCATAATGGACAGCAGACCTCATGCATTTTGGTTTCATTTGCATATTGCCCATCGTTCTTTTCTAGACTGAAAAAAACATATTTTTATAAGTGGTGTTCAAAGTATGTATATGTGTAGGTGATTAGTTGATGTTTGGTTTGTTTGGTCCATAATTAAGTGCAATTCTTCCTACTGTATAAATATTTGAATTAACCAAAGATTACAGTGAGTGTTTATATGGCCTTAATAATCCAATAACTGCAGAAAATCAGATTTTGTCAGTAATACGATCAACACGTTTACATGCACTTGAGTAAATCAGATAATGGGGAAACTCCGGGTCTACATGAGTCAGACAGTAATCAGATTTCTGCTTTGCAACCAGCCGTTAAACTCACAAAAGAAGACGTGACGTAAAACTCAAACCTCACGCTGCGGCTTATTTTTAAAAAGACGGCGCCACTTTACCTGAAAATATGAACATACATCATCTAGAAGATTACGAATATTTAAATCCTTTATTTAGCGTTTGGTTTCAGCGCCGCTCCAAAAGTGTTTTCCTGCCGTCTCGCAGGAACGGTTCTCGCTGGTACCGTCCGTCTGTTCTTGCATGTTCGAACCGTCTGTTTTCACACATGCTCAGACTGAGAAATCCGAAAGAAATCAGAGTAAGAGTTTACATGCGCTGAGAAACCTGATTACTGAGCTAAAATCCAGCCTCTTTATCAGATTTCTTTATCGGATTTCTAGATCGGAGTATGGTGTTTACATGACCATTTGAATAAATCGGATAACTCCAGAAATCCAATTATGATCGGTTTAATGAGTGCATGTAAACACACTCAGTGATTTCACAGAAAATTACTGCAGTATTCAAAATATCAATTATCGGCCCAAGGCTAACAGATAAATGTCAGTGATGTTAACGTCTACAAAAAGCCATCTAAACTCATCACGCTGATCAGCACAGTCGCCACACAACACTGACATCTGCTCAGTTCACTGGCTAAAGACAAAAAAGATGCCTTTTTAAAGCTGGAAGTAAGCAAAGATGCACAATAATATCAAACTGGTATTAAATCGGTATTAGCATTAGATGTTATGATTTGACCAATATTTCGAATTGATATTTGATTCTGTACTTACTGAACTCCAGAAAAGCAGAACATTTACACTGTTAGTTCTGTGCAGGTACATTTTGTACAAATTGTTCCCTCAAAGGTACAACAGTGGTTTTAAGGTCTGATTGTGAACCTTAAATAAGTTTTTCCAGGTGAAAAGTTCGTATTTGTACCTTTTTCATAACCGAATGTTTTAAACAGAACAGTAAAATAAAGTCCTGGAGGCGAGACGGGGTGTGTGGAGTCAGTACAGCTTAGAACATATCATTTCAGTGGATTATGGTTCAGTTATGTTCCTGACTAAAGGTACTGAGATGTACCCTTGAGGGTCCCACCCCATTGCCAATAGGGGTAACACCCCAGTGATGGTTTCATACCTTTATTTCTGAGAGTGTAGGTGACGCTGGGCTACTGTGCTGATCCTGAACCTAACATTCCAACTTTAATCTCAATTGAACACTAATCCCTAAACCCAGCTCTGGTCATAATCCCAACCTTAATGCTGACATCAACTTTTCTCCAGACAGCTTGTTAAAGATTGGAGCGTTCACCGAGGTGGTGTGGTGGACCATCAGCTATAAAACACACTTCTGAAACTGTTAGTCCAGGTGATTCAGCGCCGATTTGACCCTGAGCCTCTGTATTGCTGTGGACCCTGTTGAGCGTCTCGGTGCTGGTTAGCTGCTCTCTGCTTTCCCTCTGTAGCTGTAGATGTGAGAGTGTGTGGCTCTATGGTTCCCCTCCCCCTCCCCTCCCCCTCCCCCTCCCCCTCCCCCTCCTTCCACCCCGCATAAAGCGAAGCTGTCAGCACGGGTGTCGCAGCGAGCCGATTAGCCAATGGAGGCCCTCGGTCTGCAGCGAGCGCTCAGCTGCTCGTCACCATGGCTACCAAACCCAGTTCCTTATAACACACGC